ATTTAACCAAGGGCAGAGGCGTGTAGAAGATGGTCTTCCTTGATCTTCACCATCCTACCCTCCTCCCAGGGTCGCCAGCTTCAGCATTTCGCAGAGGAGGAAACAGACATGCAGGGGTTGAGCAGTCTGTCTAGGTCTCTAAGCCAGTAAGCCGGGGAGCCAGATTCTAAGCCTGTATCCTCCCCACTACCCTGGGCTGTCTGCTCAGGGAGAGTGGGGTACGGGTAATTCTCTAGTGGGGCTCAAGAAAGAGGCGACTTCTTGTTTTCTCGGTGTCTAATGCCACGTCTCAGACTCTAAATCCTCTTCCCCATTCACACCAAAAAACAGAGAGCCTGTGCTATAGTTGCCTTTTATGTAATTAGTAGAGGCCCGATGCACAAAATTCGTGCAAGGGTTTTGGCCCCAGCCCCCGCCTGCTGCCGCTGTGGTGGTGGTGGGGGGGAGGCCCGATGCACGAAATTCATGGAAGGGCCTTGGCCCTTGCCCCCGCCCTCCTCTGCCTCAGCCCCCACCCACCACCACTATGGCCAGGGGCCTCTGCCACCTCTGCCTTGGCCCTGCCCACAGCGGCTGTGTCTGGAAGGACATCTGGTCTAATTAGCATATTACACTTTTATTATTATAGATATTCCTCAGGCCTTGTCCAGAACCAGACCAAGCTTTGGGAATGCTGGCGCAGCTCTTTAGCTAAAGCTGGGAGCTGGCCCGGATCTCAAGCACAGCCTCTCAGACCCCACTTTAGAGGAGGAACTGTTGCTCCCTGGTGGTTCACATTATCTTACTGCCTCCCTCCGCCTCCTGAAGGTAAAGACCCAACTTTTCTGTGAGCCTGAAGGAGATGAGGAGACTCAAGCATCTCCCCTGGCAACAATCATCCCCTGGGCGAGCCTTAGGGGCAGAAGAGGATCCACCCCTTGGCATTCTGTGTGGCAGCACTGGTTCCTCCTGAGGGTCACTGCCACGTCCGAGGGGAACGTCACACAGTGTGCAAGGGAGCAGGGTGGAAGGGGAAACAGAGGGGGCAGCCCACAGGCCACTCAGCAAACCTCCTTCCCAGCCCCAGCTCAGATGTCGACAGCCAGATTCACAGAACAGAAAAAGGGCAATGGAAATGGTAGTATCTTCCACGTCACCCAAGAAGTCCTAACACAAGGATTTTGCAAAAATAGAACATCCTAGCACTCTGACCTTGAGCTGGGAGCGGCAAGACTGGGGAAATGGGCAAATACTGGTCGGACACTCTCCACTTCACCCAGGATCTGAGTATTGGAGGTCCCACCGGCTGCGGTGTGACTGCAAGACAGAGAGACCCCACCCCAGCACATCTTAACGAAAGAAAGGAAGAGCTGCAGGCCTGGGTTTCAAGATACTCTGAGGCAGTGGACACTTCTGATTCCTGAATGTAGGAACAGAAACTGGAGTGCACTTCTTTTGCCTAAAAAACCCACTTGGAATATTGAGGTAAGATAATGGAGAAAGGGGAAATAATAATTAGGAATTTCTGTTGCCTGTATGTGTACATTATAAGAACTCTATCTGCTGCTCACCTCCTCGTTCTAAATAACAGGCTCAAAGGAAATTTCCCCAAATTACTACATTCAATAATTGACCTATTTCTGATCAATCAGAATTATGAGTACATACTGTGCAGGGAACACATGTCCATCTCCATAGTAAAGAGGAAGCAGGTCACGGAGCCGAAAGAGCTCTGAGTAGAGGACTAGGAATCCCTAGGATCCAGTCCTATCTCTACCACCAAATAGCTACATGATACTTGCCCTTATTAGGTTTCGGTTTTGTCATCTGTAAATTAAGTGTGCATGTGCGTGTCGGAGATGAAGTGAGGTTGGACCAGATGCTCCTCAAGATTTCTCTCTTCTAGCTCTGATGTTCCTTGGCTTTGTGAGCTCTTAATGAGTTCAAAGAACACACCAACACCAAGCACGCCTGAAGGATCTCAGAGGGCAGGTGGGGCGGAGGATCAGCTGTTTCCTTGGAATGTTTTATTTGCATCTGCCCCATTGCACCCGAGATCACAGGACCACCTGAGGTCCAGGACGCATGTGGTAGAAGAGTTTCAATCATGAAGGTGACCGCTGGGGGCTGTGGCCTGAGCTTGCTTGGAACATTAAGTTACTATGGCCAGTGAAGGGCAAGAAGTGAGTCCCTTGCCCTGAGGTGGGTGCCTTTGGCGCCCCCTACTGGAGACCAATGGGCCCGCAGGACAGCTTCATTCACATTAGCAGGAGGCAAGGAAGACTGAGAACAGGAGGAGACTGTCACAGCTCCTTAAAAGGACAACCTTCCTGGTGCGTGGTCCTCTCTCCATGAAAGTCTATGTTCCACTGCTCAGAATTACACTGGCCATTGGCCCACACATGCACAGGGGCACTCCTGTGCAGCGACAGGACCTCTTAATCAGACATCGAGGTGCCAGATAATAAGCATCAGGGTTCAAAACACCAGGTGCAGCCCAGATGGAGAAAGGGGAAGAAAGAGTAACAAGCAGGTATTTTGCTGTACAAATCCCCAGTGGGGAAAAAAAGTCTTGGGAAATGCAGCAGGAAAATGTTGACTGTAGCACAAGATAGCTGGGTTTGGGGATATGGATCATAGCCCCATAAAAGATCTCCAGTAGTTACTGTAGGAGTTCAGCCCCCCCCCATATTCAGGGATGGGGTACAGGGGAAGGCTACAGCTCCAACTGAGCAGCCCACCCTTTGACCTTCTCCAGAGACCATTAGTACCAACTGGAAACCGGAATGTTCAAACCGTGTTCCACTGTGCCAGCATCAAGACCCTCAACTCTCTTCGTTGCCTCTTAAATTAACTTTAGGACCTGCTGCCAGAAGGATGTTTTTAATCAAGTCAGAGGGCGAGAAAATGCTTCCTCAAAGGCCATATTGGATCAACCGCCATGTTCCCACCTTCCCACCTTCCATCTCCCCTTCCTCGTGGCTGAGAGTGAGGTACAGTGCGACTCTGAATTTGCTCTAATTCAGTCTTGGGTGTCTCCAGCCCCGAGTCATCAGGGTAAGAAAGCCAACAGCGCTTCTCTCCCTA